CCTTCCCAATTTGATATCCAATTTTTCTTTATCTAAATCATTTGATACCGTCATCACCTTACTCTTTTCTATGTTCACTTTCAACTTTCTACCTTTACACACACTCCCAAACTCATCCACTAACCTTTGCAGTTTTTCTTTAGAATCTCCCATAAGCACAGTATCATCAGCAAAAAGTAACTGTGTCAATTCCCATTTTGTATTTGATTCCCCATAATTTAATCCCACCCCTCTCCCGAACACCCTAGCATTTACTTCTTTTACAACCCCATCTATAAATATATTAAACAACCATGGTGACATTACACATCCCTGTCTAAGAACTACTTTTACTGGGAAGTATTCTCCCTCTCTTCTACACACCCTAACCTGAGCCTCACTATCCTCATAAAAACTATATATATATATATATATATATATATATATATATATATATATATATATATATATTATATATATATATATATATTAATATACATTAGTTATTAAGGTTTACACGAACTGAAGTGGAGAAAACATAGTATAAGATAAAGTTAAGAAGTACATATTAAGAGGAGCCTCTGCGTGATGCTCGCATGTCTAGTACTTCCCTTGCCTTTAATTTCATTTAAGCGCGCTTGCTCTCTTCTAAGGTTAAGAAGGAATCTCCTCTGGGGCAACTATCAGGTTTGTTGAGTGTGTGTGTGTGAGACTGGCAGCCTGGAGTGAGTGGCCGCTAATTTTCACACTCCGGCCCTCTCATATTTTCAGCCTGTGGATGATGCTGCATACATTAACTCTAATGAAATAATGCCTATATTCTCTCTTTTGCTCTCCTTCTCCTTCTCTCTCTCTCTCTCTCTCTCTCTCTCTCTCTCTCTCTCTCTCTCTCTCTCTCTCTCTCTCTCTCTCTCTCTCTCTCTCTCTCTCTCTCTCTCTTTCTCTCTCTCTTTCTCTCTCCTACACACACATACACACACACACAAACAGTGAGCAGTATTAAACTGTAAGAATGTGTGAGGAATATAAACTATGTCGTTGAGCATCTCGAAGGTCGGTATGTGACCTCAACTTTTTCATAATATTTACTCACTATTTACAATATGATAAACGGAAAAAAACAGATCTGTCAATTCAGTTTGCTCTGAAAGAAGAGGAGGTAAAAATTCCCTTCCTAGTTGTCTTAATACACAAATCCGACGACCACACACTGAGGTTCTAGGTCTATCAACACGAATGATTTACTTCAGCGCTGTTTCAGCTGAAACCCCTGTAGTATACGAGGAGTTGTAATAGAATGTTATCCTCGTGTGCTTATAATAGGCTTCAGCATAAGTACATTGTCCTTCACAGTGTCTCAGGGTGAGCAAAGAAAAGAGAGAGAGAGAGAGAGAGTGAGATAGAGCTTTGCACCTGATCAACACACCCACAACAGATACCATCCCTGAAATTTGTATCATTCTACCTCACTCCAGTGTAACTGAGAACATAACCAAGGCCTTTTCATTATGTAACGTCAGAGTAACTATAGCCAATATCACCACTGATATATATATATATATCAATAATTAAACTTAATATAAGAATCATTTAAATTAATTATTTCTGAATTATATTCATAAATCACAGTAAAGATATGATTTTTTTCAATTTAAAAAAATTTTAATTTAGAGTAAGAAATTCCAACTTACTACATCACTTATGACAAATGAGATAGTTCTAGCCTTGAAATTCACTATCTTTCAGATTTGTTTTTGACATAATTTAATACGTGCCGAAAAAGGCAATAATTTTTGCGATCTTGGTTAGAATTAGCGAAACCTATTGATACACAAATGTGACTTGTTATGCAATAATCGTTCGCATAACCATAGACTGAACAAGTAACGCAAATATATTCACTGTGTTTATTTATATAAATATATTTAAACAAATCTAAAATATATTTATTGTTTATCTAAAATAATTTATCTTGTTATATATATAATTTTCTAAGATATGAGTTAATTAAATTTTTCAATTGCATATTACTCGCAAAAAATATTTAAACTATATAAATTTTACAAGGCACTTAATTTTAAATGATCTTAATTGACTTTTACATCTCAGCACACTATATTATAATATAGATCATATATGATATATTAATATTAATATATATATATATATATATATATATAATATATATATAATATATATATATATATATATATATATATATATCGAGTAAAATGTAGTTTACTTACAATACCTAGAATGTTGCATATCATCTCGCAGCATGTGTCTACTACTATTATATGTACTACCACTACTACTACTATTTTTACTAATTAAACTTATTTCTTACCTCTCCCTCTTCCTCGCTCACTTGTGACTTGATAATGATGCGGGACGAAGAGGAACGTCCGTTACTAAGTGTGAGTTTGTTGTCCATTTGCTGAAACTACAAGTTAGATCAATGAACACAGATGTGGAAAATGAAATGTAATGCCAATATATTGTGGATATACACTATGGCAACCGTCATGCGAGGCAAAGATGGTAGAAGAAAAAAGCAAACAGAATAAACCTTTGTTTGGACAAAGCTGCACTCTAAGCAGAGCTTTATCAACTCAAGCTTTGCTTAATGATGCGTGAAAATATAGACTTGATAAATAAAGCACATAAAATATAGCCTTGATGAATAAGGAACATAAAATAGAGCCTTGATGAGTCAGGAACATAAAATAGAGCCTTGATGAGTCTGGAACATAAAATAGAGCCTTGATGAGTCAGGAGCATAAAATAGAGCCTTGATGAGTCAGGAACATAAAATAGAGCCTTGATGAGTCAGGAACATAAAATAGAGCCTTGATGAGTAAAACACATAAAATAGAGCCTTCTTCTGCATATGAAGGAAAATAAGGTTCTAGGTGAGTTAAACCAACATAATGTTGGGGCTAATAGCAAAAAATTCTAATTCTGAATCACCAGAAATTCTCTCTCCCAAGTCTTAGTCGAAAAAAAAAATGCATTAAATAAGCTTCTCATTACTGAGCTACTTGATGATAAATCAGACAATGTGCAGACAATGAAGGATAATAAATAACGTCATAAATGAAACTTTTCAACAATGCAGGAGAACGAAATCTGTTTTCTGTAAGAATTCATAACTTAGATTAGATTTACGTAGAGTTCTCAACCCAGGTGGAGTGAAGTCAGACCCGACATGACCGTGTTGACCAGTGTCGCCTCCTGTGAACACCAGGATGAACAGATAGTTTTTATGCATGGAGCTGGTAATTGTGTTTGATTATTTATGTGTCTGATTCTGTTTGGAATGTGAGCCCGGCACCAGTAAAAGATTGTCAAGAACAAAGAAAATATTGTCTCGAAACAAAGATCAGCTTGAATTTGCAGCCGAGCAACTCCTTTGTCAGGTAAAGAAGGATAATTTAGCTAGCCAGCTGCAAGTGCTTGTACCATGAAGGAGTGTTTTACTTTCTCGTAAGAGAAATGGCAGAGAAACTGCCGGTAAGATCCCCTCTAAAACATTATACTCTTGCAGAAACTTCTTCAGATATTTGTAGATATGATCAGTCTATGAGCAGAATGATGACAATATTGCTAAACAATCTTTGATTCTAAGAATATTTGACTTTGTGTTCAAAATATGACGTCAAAATATTTGATGACGACTTACAATTTCCTTTCTTTGTGAAACACCGGAGTTGGATCGCATCTTCTTAATGTAAAACATAATTCAGTGACTCAGAGAATTATATAAGAAAAAAATGTATATCCGAAACATCTGTGATAAAAAAAAATGATGCTAATGAATGAGTTACAAAAGCGAGGACAAGATACCATCAGTTTATGGATGAGGAAAAGAAAGTATTAATTGAAAATGATTGGATGAAAAAAGTTCTGCAGTAGGAGGTGACTGGCTTAACGAAAAGCAAACGAAAACTACAGTCGAGTGTTAAAGTGCAGTAAAAAGAGGCAGATGAACTGGCAAAACATGCAGGGAAGAAAGCTTAAATGAACTTCGTTGTAAAGTCGAATGTATTCAAGAGCGAGGCTGGTGAAAAGAACAAAGAGAGAGCAGAAACAAATAAAAATTAGGAGAGTGTTGAGAAGAGACTTAAACTTGTTTAACTATGTCAACATTGTCTTTCTTACGCTGTATTTTAAACCTCTGTGAAACAGACCATTGAGGGATCGGTCTGAATATATTTTTGTTAACAAGGGAAAGTAAATATAAAAACAGACTGAAGATTTCGGACAGCATCTGAAGCATTGTTCAGCAAAATACAGCCTGAGATGCAGGCTTAAAAAAAATCAATGTTTCTAATTATTTTTCGAACAAGTGAGTTCATATTACTTTGACAAGCGAATTACTGCGCTTGATTCTCATATTGCGACATAATTAAGTCTTCGAAAAAAATATCTGAATCATAATGTTATGGCCTACATAATCATTTATTAGCAAGTAAGATATTGTTCTTTGATAACCAGTGTATAGTTTCATGTGCTAGTCCCTCTTTTCAACTAGCAGTTTAAATGTAACCTGGGTTAAATAATAACTCTGTGCTTAGTTGTAGTTATGTCTTTGTAAGACCTTTCAATGTTAATTGTGGAATTTAGGTATTTTCTTTCAGTTTAGTGGTAGGTAAAATTTAAGGAAAGACATTTCACTGCTAACAAATTGGAGATCTATCTTAAGACGAAGTTTTGGTCTGTTCTGTGTCTCAAACGAAGTCTGAAATTTGACCTCCAATTTGCGGGTTTGTGACTTTTATTCTTCTTTAGTGGAAAGGCATTATTCATCTAGCTGCTGCGTGTACTATGTTTCTCTATTTTGTATGCATTATAGCTGTTTTGTGTGATGTATGTAGCTAGTGTTTGGTGTAAATAAGGAGCTATTATTGAAAAGACCGATTTCATAGTGGCTTTCTTCGTATTTAGCAAATCAACATTGTAATTACACATTGTAACCTTGGCAAAAAAATATAATCTTTAATCTTTTTTTAATCTTTGACTTAGGTTTTGGAAATATAAGTGAGCCGGTGACGCTTTGGCAGTAAGATAGGATGGTGCCATGAGTGGCCGTGAGTGCCGTGGTCTCTTTTCATCCATCCTTCAGGAGGTAGGTACATTGGTGCTGGTGAAGGGCTATTGAACTAAAGATCAGATTAAATTTTATTTCCTCCCCAAGCTCTGTATGACCCCTACGAGTTTATCTCGTCCCCTTGACCATTAATAATTTGAGTCACACAATGAGAAGGGAAAACTGGAGACGAGCTAAGAAAGAAAATAAACTTACCGCAGTAGAGTTCATTAATCTATCGCTTCTCGCCATTTAGGGCATTCACAACACGTACAGTTTCTACACCTATTGTTCCCTTGGGGCAGTGAACCATTACCTGTGAAGTAAATACAGGGTACAGTCCCGCTATGCAAATGATAAAATTACACGTCGGAGCACCACCAAGACATTTGGTAACTCCTCTGTGCATCTCCTAAGAAACTTGTCTGTTGCAGGTGTTGCGGCAATCACATATTTAGCATATCGAGTTGCATCTAAGGAGAGGTTTGATTACCTTTAAATGAGGCTGTCAGGTGTAATCTCCAACACCATGTATGTAAAACACATAATTATATATTCTAGTACGATTAAACCAGACCATCTCTCGCAATCATAATAAATCCGAAGCATATCACTTTTTTTTCTCTCTCTCTCCTTCTGTAAGTTTCTCTTTACTGGAGTTTGACTTTCGCTTAGCTAGGTTAATGAGGCGATTTATCACGTTCACTAAGGGTTGAATACCTTGAATATATTGAGGCTTCGAGGGAACGAAGTCTGCAAACCCATTCACATATATGAATTAATAACGCAAACACTGAACAAACTCTTATTTTGACAGCGTTTCGCTTTATGTAGAGCTTTATCAAGTCAATGAGATTTGATAAAGCTCTTTATAAAGCGAAACGTTGTAATAGTGAATGGTTGCTCTCCATCTGTTTTTTTTTTTATCACTGTCGGCTGTTCGCCTTTGAATTTATGCTGCCCCGACTACCAATTTACCCCGGTAAAAACTTTCTGTGCCCTGCTAAGATGTGATCATCAGGATGATTTGAACACATGTGTCTGTAGCTCGAACACTTGTGTCTGCAAATCGAACACCCGTGTCTGCACCTCGAACACCCGTGTCTGCACCTCGAACACCCGTGTCTACACTTCGAACACCTGTGTCTGCACCTCGATCATCCTTGTCTGCACCTCAGACACCCGTGACTGCAAATCAAACACCCGTGTCTGCACCTCGAACACCCATGTCTGCGTTTCAGCCATAAATGTTATACAAAGGAAAATGTAAATTCCAGACATAGCTTAATTTAATCAGAGGTGAGAAACACCGACTGGGTGACGAATAAGACACAGTATTTCTTACTCGTTTTTGAGAGACTTTTCGCCCACCAGGGGAAGCGGCTACATCTCTCAAAGATACCCAGATGTTTCACACGTGGATTACCTAGATATTACCAAGTCTGCTCTGAAAGTCCCGTGATGCAAATCAAGCTTTCTAGCTTCGACGGCATTTCGCTCAGCACCGAGCGAAAAGTAGTTTGAATTAGAAGCCTGGTCTGCATAACCTGCCTTAAGCTTCTCGGTTAGTTCCCTGAGTCACCGTCAGCCGATGGCGCTTTAATCACATATATGGCTAATTGATTATATTTATTTACAACTCTGAAGAAAAGTGGCTTTTTTTTCGTTTCATTTTGTTATTTAAATACATCTACGTCCATTTTCTTCTCTCTATTTTAATATTCTGTCATTTATTATAAACAGTTCCATGTCGTGCGTAGGTTGACCTGTCGTTCTTGATACGAAATATTTGTTTCGTGTAATCCCTCACGTCTCGTATCCCTCTGTTGCTCTTCATTTCATTCGTATGCTTCATGTCATCCCTAAGCCTCGTGTCATCTTTAAGCCTGATGTCACCACTAGCCTCATGTTTTTCTTAGGCCAACTATGGTTCACATTAGGTACTTTATTACCCCCTAGAGGTTTACCGCTTCCTCGTGAACATAATAATATGAAGAGGAATTCAACAGTTCCCATTGTGTATAATAATTCCCTTTCGATACTGCAGTTATTTGACGGATTACAGTTTCAGAACTTAGCAGTTAATTTATTCACGTGATGTAAAGTGTGGATACTGTCACAGTGTTGCAGATATCTTATCACTAACGATGAAGTTCCTGTATTCTGCATTTCAACATCACATTTGTCTTCTTTCTCCTCCCCCCTCCCACTTTATCAGGCTTCTCGTTTACTCCCCATTTACTCTCTCACCTGTGACTTGACAATAGTCCAGGACGGACCGAAACATCGTCTAAAGTTTTCTCTCCTAAACGTGGGTTATTTGTGAATGTATCCAGCTATAGTATTGTGACTTTTATTTCTTCAGTGTATCCCTTCATTCCTCCACTACTTTTACGAGGAACTTCTTCCTCTTAAAATTCCGTGTCGTTTCCCTTATTTTAACAAAATCTTCGAATTACTGGAATTCGTAGTCCACGACTTCTCGTTTTACCCTTAATAACACTGGGATATTGAATTCAAATATCGCTTGGTCACTCCTTTCTCGATTCTGAAACTTTTTATGTGATTTCAAGACAGTCTTGCCTGCACAGTCATCGTTTAAAATGCATTTAAGACCACAGGAAAAAGGGTTCACGACGATCTAGAAATGTTTGAGAGTATTAAGGAGCTCCTGAGGTTAACCAGAAGCATCTCTGGCCATTCAGGATTTGCACGTCCGGTGAAGACTTGCCAGAGTGTCCAATACCACTCCTAAAGTTCAAGTGCGTCACAGGCCGTTCTAGAGCACTCGAGACCCTCCAGAAGCGGCGAGACCCACCCAGGAGTGCCCATGAATAAATTACTAAGAATGCACATGGAAAGTGCAAGATCATCCACAATTTCCCCCGTTCGCTCAGGAATCTCTGAGACTAGTCCGCTAAGCTGAAGTCGCTCATAAATGCCTGGGGTCACCCACGAATTTACGTGATTGCCCAGTAACTTTCGAATTACTGGGGAATACTGTCCAGGGTGAGGCTGATTAGAAAGTAGCCGCATCGAGAGCTAGTTTGAGAGAGTCCTTGAGTATGTACAGAGAATAGGAAGTAATTTTTATTCTTTTTTAAAGGAATTATATTTCACTGGACATAGAAAAATAGGAAAAAAGCTATAGAAAATAATACCAAAATATTCGGAAGAAAATATATTTTGAGCAGAGAGCGACCTAAAAAAAAGAGTAGTATTAAAGGTACAATATTCATGTTGGTACCAGTGGATGTGGTACAATATCGTCCCTAGTGACTCAGTATCGTCCCTTACCCTTCACTATTCTACTTGGTCCCTAAATATCGTTTCTATTTCGTCAATATCGTCCATAGTCCCTCGCTATCGTCTCTGATTCTTCAGTATTTTCGCTCAGCATCATCACTGGTTACTCAGTATTCTTCCTGGCTACCCACTATCGTCCCTAGTACTCCACTGGATAATGGAGTGCTTAACAAACAAGAGAGAGAGTCATAGCAAGAGTAGAGACGTGAGGCCGAGAAGAAGTAACAAGCAGCCTTCCCCAAGGATTAGTTCTCCGTCCTGTCCTTCTCTTTACTTAAGTTTTCAACCTTCCTAGGAAGACTGAATCCTACGTGTGTGTGTGTGTGTGTGTGTGTGTGTGTGTGTGTGTGTGTGTGTGTGTGTGTATGCGTGTGTGTGTGAAAAATGTAAACGGAAGAGAATTGCTAAAATCCTGAAGGAAGACATGGACAGACATCAGCAATGATTCAAAAAATGGCTATTCGATTTCAATTCTGAAAAATGTCAGGATATGAGGATAAGAGGAACGAAAATGCTACAGTTTGAAAAGAAAAAATGTAAAGTGGACACAGCCCCGAGCCTGTCACCAAAGGCTTGAAAACAGAGGACAACGTCACCGGCTTTGGCAACATTTGAGGCACATAAAAATAACACATTCAAAAACCTCAAAATAGACTTCTTTAGCATAATATGATCACCTATGAGAAACCAGTGTTGGAATATATAAAGCGCCAGCGTGGAGCCCACTCCTCAGACATGTAGGTAAGTAGTAGGTTCACCGGGCATGTCCCGGTCCGGGTCTTTTCCAGATGGTGACCCGACTCAGACACGTAAGAAACTAAACGAAGCTCTAAAGATTTGTCATCATTCTGGTACCAGAGCTCAAGAATCTGAGTTATGAAGACACATTTTAAAACCAGATTTACTATAAATATCAGAAATGAGAACAGAAAAAAATACAAGAATGAGAAGGATGGGCTGCTTGTATTTAACTAAAAAAAAAACTTTTATTAATCTGCCTCAGAGTTAATTTAAAATTGGTTAAAATATAAAAGTAAAGGATGAGCTACTAGATTGCATGTTTTCTTTTTTTACTTGCAGGAGACACAACAGTTGTATATCACTAGTAATTAATACCGACGAAATGGCAGGATGAGCGACTGATTACCTCATCTTCCACTGTCTGCTGTATATATTTCTGCTGACCTGATATTATGTCCATGTAATGTATTGATAAAACCACTGGATGGCGAAACGTCTACAAGTAAAGATACACAAACGTTGCACATGAGTCTGGCTCATCATCGGAGATAACAATGATCAGAGGGAAAACCGTCACCACGAAGCAGGTTCATCGTTGTGGTGTCACGCGGGTGAGTGTTTGCTCCGACACTGTTTATAATTTATGGAAATACTTTTTACACAGGGACCTGGTCACAGACCGGGCCGCGGGGGCGTTGACCCCCGGAACACTCTCCAGGTAAACTCCAGGTAAACTGTGTAAATCATATAAATACCCCTGCTAGTGATGTAAACAAATTTAAAGAAAATAAAATATTCGAACGACTAAATACTCATAGAGACAGTTGTTTATAATGACATGGAATAAAGAAATGAAAGTTGAGTATCATAGTATAAGTGTCATGTGGTTTAGATGAGTGAAAATGAAAAAAATGGCCCGTTCAAGTTATACACTGTGTGACAAAATTTTCTGACCATTTAATTGAAAGAAAGATCTTGGGGTTACAATAAGTATAACGTTATCACTGGATAAGTATAACGTTATCACTGGATAACTATAACGTTATCACTGGATAACTATAACGTTATAACTGGATAAGTATAACGTTATCACTGGATAAGTATAACGTTATCACTGGATAAGTATAACGTTATAACTGGATAAGTATAACGTTATCACTGGATAACTATAACGTTATCACTGGATAACTATAACGTTATAACTGGATAAGTATAACGTTATCACTGGATAAGTATAACGTTATCACTGGATAAGTATAACGTTATCACTGGATAAGTATAACGTTATCACTGGATAAGTTAACGTTATCACTGGATAAGTATAACGTTATCACTGGATAAGTATAACGTTATCACTGGATAAGTATAACGTTATCACTGGATAAGTATAACGTTATCACTGGATAAGTATAACGTTATCACTGGATAGCTATAACGTTATCACTAAATAAGTATAACGTTATCACTGGATAACTATAACGTTATCACTGGATAAGTATAACGTTATCACTGGATAAGTATAGCGTTATCACTGGATAAGTATAACGTTATCACTAAATAAGTATAACGTTATCACTGGATAAGTATAACGTTATCACTGGATAAGTATAACGTTATCACTGGATAAATATAACGTTATCATTCGATAAGTTAAATTTGATTAACCGAGAAACTCACGCATCGAAATTTTATATAATCTAGTAAGTGATTGCAGAAATGTTTTTATATTAACATTGGTAATAATGAAGGTAAAGAATTCAGGGGTCGTGTGTAACCCTGATTTAAACAAAGACATAAACAGTGCATAAAAAAACCAGACACATGCAGCTAAGTTGATTGCAGATTAAGAAATCTGATGCATGCAAAAAAAAAGTGAAGACAGAAAATTTGCTGAAAGAGAGGAAGAGAAGTGGTTTGATAACCACCTGTAAAATGATGAAAGGCAATGAGAAAACAATCTGGAAAAATATGTTGGAATTAACAACGGGAAATCAAGTGGATGCGAACCCCAGATGCTGAAGCTGTGTAAAAAAAAAAAAATCTTTTTCCTTACTGAGAGGTTGGCCAAGAGGAGCGAGCTTCAGGTGTGTGTGTGTGTGTGTGTGTGTGTGTGTGTGTACTCACCTAGTACTCACCTAGTTCAGGTTGCAGGGGTCGAGTCCGAGCTCCTGGCCCCGCCTCTTCACTGGTCGCTACTAGGTCACTCTCCCTGAACCGTGAGCTTTATCATACCTCTGCTTAAAGCTATGTATGGATCCTGCCTCCACTACATCGCTTCCCAAACTTTTCCACTTACTCTCTACTCTGTACTCACCTATATGTGGTTGCAGGGGTCGATTCATAGCTCACACACACACATACACACACACACCCACCCACACACACCACACACACACACACACACACACACACACACACACACACACACACACACACACACACACACACACACAACACACATGCACAACACACACACAACATACATACACACACACACACACACACACACACACACACACACCACACACAAACACACACACACACAAACACACACACACACACACACACACACACACACACACACACACACACACACACACACACACACACACACACACACACACACACACACACACACACGCAAACGCATTCCTTAAATAATATACCAGTCTGGCTCCTTGATCTGGCTTCTGTGTCAACAATGTACCATCCTAGCTACTACACTGGTGATCATGATGAACCAGCTTGGCGTTTTCGCATCATTACCTCCTTAACATCCTTTATATCTTCACATTCTTTACTTCCTTGCATGCATTTCGTCCTAACATCCTAATCTTTCTTATGTTCTCTTCGTTCGTACATCTTTTACGGGCTAACATCTTTTATATCCACACATCCTTGACGTTCCATCATAGATCTTTTAAATCCTTACTTTCATTTACATCCTTACATTTTGAATCTTTCACGTCCTTATATCCTACACATCCTTTACATCCTCACACTCTTGAATGTTTGACCATCCTGGCTGCTGGGTCTTCCTTTATGCAGTACCAGGCAGGGATGTTCCTGATTTTGTAGTATACGAGGCTGGTTCCTCTACCTGATGGCTGTTGTTATCAGCCTTGGCGTGGAGAAAGTTCATTGTGTGTGTGTGTGTGTGTGTGTGTGTGTGTGTGTGTGTGTGTGTGTGTGTGTGTGTGTGTGTGTGTGTGTGTGTGTGTGTGTGTGTGTGTACGCGCGCGTGCTTGAGAGCCATTCACACGACGTTTGTTTGTGGCGAGTGTTTTACGTGCTTAGAAAAGTAAATGCCTGTTGACGCTAAGACTGTCGTGTGTGTGTGTGTTTGTGTGTGTGTGTGTGTGTGTGTGTGTGTGTGTGTGTGTGTGTGTGTGTGTGTGTGTGTGTGTGTGTGTGTGTGTGTGTGTGTGTGTGTGCGTGTGTGTGTGTGTGTGTGTCTGTGTGTGTGTGTGTACTCGCGCGTGCTTGAGAGCCATTCACACGACGTTTGTTTGTGGCGAGTGTTTTACGTGCTTAGAAAAGTAAATGCCTGTTGACGCTAAGACTGTCGTGTGTGTGTTTGTTTGTTTGTTTGTTTGTTTGTGTGTTTGTGTGTGTGTGTGTGTGTGTGTGTGTGTGTGTGTGTGTGTGTGTGTGTGTGTGTGTGTGTGTGTGTGTGTGTGTGTGTGTGTGTGTGTGTGTGTGTGTGTGTGTGCGTGTGTGTGTCTGCGTGCTCTGGATGGGGAGACGAAAGTCGCCATCATCGTTACAACAATAACCTCTCCACTATCACGACAACCTCCAGGGCAACCATCAGTACTCTAATAATCCCACCATAACCACCAAGACAACCAACGATAATAATCTCTTCGTTATCGCTACAACTACTACATTATAATGTCCTCTCCACTGCAACTATTAATCACTCCACCATCACCACAACCTCAAAATAACCCCTCACCACCGCCACTACAATAACCTCTTCACTATCACAACCATCACTACCATCAACAATGCAATTAACCATCACTCCTGTTTCTCTAAAATTGCAAAGCGAGACTCACAGTCGAAGTCTCCCAATCCACCTTCCTCTACTTACCTATCTGTCAAAATAGGCACCTTCTTGTTAGTCGACTGCTGTGAGCCGCATTCCAAGGAAAAAGAATATTTAAATTCATAAGAAACGCCAAACCATCTGGAAGCTGCATCCTGGTCAGAAATACCGACGAGTAAGACCTTTCCAGACCTGCTGCAAGTATTTAGAAGTTACGGAAAAAAAGTAATAGCACAATGCTGTGTATTTAATGATAATTACAGAAAAATGACGTTAGTATTCCATTACCACTTATCCCAGCGTTGGTACCTTTCAGAACACCATCAGGGCTCCCACCGTCAGTATCTCTCAGAACACCACCAGGGCTCCCAGCGTCAGTACCTCTCAGAACACCATCGGGGCTCCCAGCGTCAGTACCTCTCAGAACACCATCAGGGCTCCCAGCGTCAGTATCTCTCAGAACACCATCAGGGCTCCCAGCGTCAGTACCTCTCAGAACACCACCAGGGCTCCCAGCGTCAGTACCTCTCAGAACACCATCGGGGCTCCCAGCGTCAGTACCTCTCAGAACACCACCAGGGCTTCCAGCGCCAGTACCTCTCAGGACACCACTAGAGTTCACAGCATCACCACTTCTCTATATCAGCACCTCAAGACACCACCAAAGCTCACAGCATCACCATTTCTCTATATTACCACCTCTGAGGACACCATCTTGGCTCTCAGCATCCACACCGTTCCTCCTAGCGCCCCTGTAATCAGGAATCTTTATACCAGTCTGTGTCCCTGGCTGTGACGTTTACGACTGTCTGCCGTAGATGATGAGCCAGTCTACGTAATCATTCATGTTTATTACGTATTGTTCTCCCTTGGTTGATGATGGTGAAAGTGTGCTTTTGAGGTCATTATTAAAAGCCAGAGTAATACTTGCTGGAACATTTGTTACACTCTCTTTCCATTGCAATTATATGAGAATAGACATTTTAATCACGATGGAGATAGACACACAGACTGATGTAATGATACAGCCAGAGGCAGTGAAGACAAAGGTATGAAGAGACAGTTGGACAAGGAGAGACATACAGAGAAATGGGTAGAGTAGAAATATATTCATTTATGGAAAAAACATCAGGTATGTACACAGCGTATACACTACAATGCAACATAAATCAACAGTGCAACACATTTCAGTCCAAGACAATACGGTACAATATTATCAAGCAGAATTAAGACCAAAGCCAATTTAATACACAATATTAAAGGAAACTTGATAGACTGTAAAGGAGACTTGATAGACTCTATGCCAAAACAGGGTTGATCAACTATCCTATAGATTGTATGGTTAAGGCAGATTTATAGACTGTTTGGTAACTACACAAATGACTTATTTCTGAGGTAGAGCTGGTCATTAAGATCCTATTGGTTTACAGGCAAGAAAAAATACTTGCAAATCAACCTTAGTCCTATTTAGTTCCTTGTAAAATAATTGTTCCTTGGCAATTATTTGGTACAGTTTCCAAATACTTTCTTGGAATTTATTCCTCTGCCTCAGATATACACATTATGATAATTTATTAATCTGTCTAGGGGGTTCATTTTCCATAATTGAGTAACGTGGGCTTTATTACAGTAATTGCAATCTAATGTTCAGCTATATTGCATATGCATGTCATTTGCAAATCTAGTTAGTGAAGGTCCACACGGGGCCGCTATCTACAGGCTCTACTCTAAATACCTTTCCAATGATGGTCCATATAAGGAGGACGCGAGTTTAACATCATTAGCTAGGTAAACGACACACACACACACACACACTCGTTCTTGTACCTTTGCTTCATATTACAAATATTTCTAATGTGCCTTCGGTAATATCCAGAGAATATTGCTAGTGATGGAGATATTATTATTATTATTAATTATTTATAATTATTATATTCTTATTATTTCTATAATATTGGGAGGCGCTAAACCCATAGGGGCCATACAGCGCCTGGAGAAATGAAAGGCATTCGGGCTCGATTCAAGGTCTGAATCCTTTCATCAAGAGCCTCTCACCAGCATCAAGACAGAGAGAATGAGAATGGAAACTCGAGGGATACCTTTTTTTTTTATCTAATTTAAGAAATTATCCAAATGCAAGTTTGCTGTACGAGACGAGAATACAGACCAGTAACTTGCTTGGTGATTGCCACTAGTTGCTAAGAAACAGGTAATTAGAGAGGCTGTCTGTCTCGTTTTTCATGTCAGCAGAAAATTACTCTTAACACTCGTGTTCTTGAAATTGCGATTGTTTATACCATCATCACTAAAACTGTGTTTTTATTTTTAATTTGCAAATATGTTCAAGAATACGAAAAATTTATTAACATATCTGTAAGTTTCAAAATTTCGAGGATAATAATAATAATAATAATAATAATAATAATAATAATAATAATAATAATAATAATAATAATAATAATAATAATTAGTGATAATATCATCAGTGCTGTTATAACTGAATATCACATTCCCTTAGCAGCAGCAAACCATTATGGATCATACAGCACCTAAGGAGCGAGATTTAATGTTGCTGTTGTTTATGGTGCAGTTGCATGTTGCTACTGCTTATGATGTACGTAGTTCGCATGTTGTTACTGTCTGTGGCATTAGTGCATCAGTTACCTTTTCATCTTAGTGGTGATTCTGATGTATTTATATTGGTGACATATTGATCCTGGAATAAAACAAAATGATAAATTCAAAGTGATAGCTTTGATGGCACTGTAATTGACATCAGCGTATCAGTACTCAATCTAGGTGGTAAATGTTTATACCTGCCAGGTATATATGCCACCACTGGTTGTGGTTCAGTGTCATACCCATATAACAACGGTGAAGCAACTACTTCTCAAGAGATCCTCGCATTAACCGGATGTTCAGCAATAAGGGAGCCGCCGCAACTATACAGAACCGACGGTAGTCAAAAGGATTCCACTAGAATTACTTTGCAACTCTGGAGAGATGGAAAACTGGTGATGTGGAACTAAACACGGTTGCCGACCTTGGCTGACAACTATCTCCAGTACAGAAGGGTAAAAGAAAGTGCAGAGGCCAGCTTCTGGGAGTTTAAAAGTCTAGAAAATGCAGTGAACGTTCGTCCCCAAAGCTTAAAAGACCCTCAGCTCATGGGAAAAGTGAGCATTCAAATTCCTGAAAGAATTAAGCGAAAGATTCATGAGAAAAAAACTAAGGATCCCAGAGCAGCTAGTTTTTAGTTCTGGCATCTGTGTTACAGACCTGACGAGTAATGCCTTTTGTACTTGTTACGTGACCCAGCTCGGAACAGCTGCTTGACGTATTTGAAATGTAACCTGTGCACTCGTACAATGTATCTTGTGGACCCCATGTAGAAAATTACCTACTCAAGAATATAAAATATATATATATATATATATATATATATATATAATATATATATATATATATATTATATATATATAATTAACTAGTACTCTAATGTAAAAATGTTCTTATACTAAGTCTATTATAATATTAATAAAAAAAATATAAGGTTTCAATATAATAAATATTCTTTTAATTAATATAAATATATATATAATAAAATAAAAATAAAATAGTTTGCCTAATTGCATATATTAGCTGGTCCATCCTAAGAGAAAGTGGGAACCATGTCCCATTGTGTAAAAAAGCCAAGATAAATACTTTCCGAAAGATGCCGACAAGGAAAACTTTCCTCTTGCTTGCTGCCCGTCCCCAGAAGCAGGGATACCATACCCAAATTTAAAAAAAACCATCCGAATTTTTAGCATGAACCTGACATGGGCCAAAAAAATGAATTTTGTTAAATGTTTAAGGTCATTACCTCGGCCCTGGATCACGCATCCGCCTCCACAACCATTTGTTTACATGCTCTCAGGCTCAGCCGTAAATCTCGGATATTGTTTCCTCTGCTGCCTCTTGTGGATGCAGGATTGCAGGCACCTGAATGACCTTTCTCGAGTTCAGGGCTATGTTAGGTCCCCTGACCCTCCACCAACACCCCACAACCCCTAGAGGAAGTCTTTGTTCCACACACCGCCATCACGACATCACCAAAGTTACGATCTATCATCTGAATTTAGAGTTCTCCAGGACGCACATGCGCTGCGCGTGAAATTAGTGCATACACAAGAGTCTCACGCAGTGAGCCTTTATAGGGTGGAGCGAGAAGGGTAAAGGGAAAGGGGGGAAGGGGAACGTGAAGGGTAAAGGTAAGGGAAAAGTAATAAATCCGTGATGTAGACAACTCCCAACGTTGCAATCCTGTCCAGGTGAGTTGCCAAAATTTATCTTTATTACCTGGGAAAGAGCTAAGCCCGTAGAAGGCACACAGCGCTTGGAAAATATGAGGGGCAATCAGATTTGGCAAGAAAGGTAGGTGAGGGTAGTTCAAGTTCCTTGAATCAAGAGCCCTTCAGCAAAAGCAAGGAACCCACCTTCCCCATCCCTTGAAGGATGGCTTGAACTGGTGTCCTCTTTGTGTTTCGGAACTTGTGTAGTGTAATTGTGTCGTTTTTCCTCCCTAGTGGCCGTTGGCGTGTAATGTCGTTTCTCCTCCCCGGTGGCCAGTATCATGTAGCTGTGTCTTTTTCTCCCTGGTGATCAGTGTCATGTAGCTGGGTCGTTTCTCATCCCTGGTGGCTAGTGTCATGTAGCTGTGTCGTTACTCCTCCCTGGTGGCTAGTGTCATGTAGCTGTGTCGTTTCTCCTCCTTGGATGCTAGTGTCGTGTAGCTGTGTCGTTACTCCTCCCTGGTGGCTAGTGTCATGTAACTGTGTCGTTTCTCCTCCCTGATGGTCAGTGCCATGTAGCTGTGTCGTTTTTCTTCCTGGTGGTCAGTGTCGTGTAGCTTTGTCGTTTTTCTCCCTGGTAACCAGTGTCGTGCGCAGTCTCTCAGGCAAAAGAGTAGAATTCTACATAGAAACTTGGAAACACGGAAACAACTTCAGTATTTACCTTTTCATGCAGTTGAACAGCTTACAATATCTGTCAAGTCTGAAATGTCCGGGTTAGAATTACCGTGTTTGAATTCAAGGGTTCGAATTCATGGGTTCGTTTTCACGGATTCAAATATTGGGGTTCGCATTCAAGGCTGGAATTCACGATTTACACTATTAGTTAATATCTGTTATGGTCGGGAAATTATACGAAAATATACATATGTTGATCTGAACAAACCAAACTTAACAAAAGCGAGAAAAACAAATATGACGTTTCAAAATGAAAGTAGAAATGCACACACGGCAGTTCCAGTGGGGCTGACTGCTTAAATTAGTGAAGAGGCTGACCAGACGTGCCACGTATCAGTCGGCAGCACCAGGTTTTGTGTTTTACGTAAGTTAGATTAAGTGAGAAAAAGAGTGATCCGTGAGTGAAATTAACGAACTGTGAGGAAGAGGAAGTGTAACAGCAGGAGTAAAAAAAAAATCACTGAAACACAAGAGGAGCTCTGCTGTGTGTCTACTTTTCCATACCAGGTAGACCAACAGAAGTGTAAGTTTGTGATTCACGAAATGGTAACGATACGATGGTGTACTAGTGGTTATATACTCACAGGATCATCTCAACAAAACGCTGTTTCACACATATATCAGAAGAGGGCAAGTGCGATAACTTTACGTTACCTCATTCTTGAACGTTAGTCGGTGGGCCTTTGAGGAGACATTAACAAAGAATTGGTTAAGTTCATAGGCTTCTTAAAATAGATCAGTTTTGACACCGCTCGCTCCTCTCCTGTCATCATTAACACCTACACAATAACCTCATCTACATAAATTTACTAGGGAAAGCTGAATGAAATTAAAATTAGGAATATTGGAGTCAATGACGAGATACATAGCAGCGATAAAAAGATTATTCAGAAAGTAACTACGACTAGGATGGAGGCAGGAGAGAGGGATAAGATCCCGGGAGAGGAAATTACTGAGGATGTAGAGAGGGCTTAAGGAAATGACAGAGCTAAGAGAAGAGGCGGAAAGAAAGAAGAGAAACGTGAGGGTGCAGCTTAATTACAAAGATGGAATAGTGAACATGACGCAATAGGCTAAGGAAGAACTGAAGGCAGGAGAGAAGAGGGAGAAAAGAGATAAGTACTAAACAAGAGGGGGGAGATTTTCTCTCTTCTCTCTCTCTCTCTCTCTCTCTCTCTCTCTCTCTCTCTCTCTCTCTCTCTCTCTCTCTCTCTCTCTCTCTCTCTCTCTCTCTCTCTCTCTCTCTCTCTTTCTCTGTCTCTATCTTAGTTCTAGTTTTCCGGACTACGTCCTTGCCAACGGGCTGTTGTGAGGGATCACTGGTGAGGTTGGTGTGTCGTGGCTGTCGTGTTGATCTACACGCTGGGGTCGTGCGGAAGCTTGTGGATACAGCAAAGAGCAATCCAGTACCGAAATGAGGTCGTGGTTTTTTTTTTTCTGTTGGGAGAGTAAGCAAGATAACACAGACTGGAATGTTCGATATCTTCATATTGACTTTTCTACATATGTAAATTTCAAGACTGGTCCTCTGTATGTGTCGGATAAATATACGATTTTTAACCGTAAACCTCCATCATTACCCTTTTTTACGGGACACTATACGTTATGTTAAAAAAAAAATCAGCTGTTTTAAGTTCGTTACTGTTGTATTAATAGCATATATTTTGTTATCCTCAATAGTTTTATTATCATGTTTTGAAGGCTTGGTGAAAATAACTGAAAATGTTCTGAAAAAATGCGTCAGTGAGTACCATATCAATTTTTACCTTTGTAAATGTTCTTAAAAAAATACGTCAGTAAGTACCACATCAATTTTTACCTTTGTAAATGCTCTTAAAAAATACGTCAGTAAGTACCACATCAATTTTTACCCTTGTAAATGTTCTGAAAAAAATACGTCAGTGAGTACCACATCAATTTTTACCTTTGTAAATGTTCTGAAAAAAGAATTTATCTTTGTAAATGTTCTTAAAAAAAGTACGTCAGTGAGTACCACATCAATTTTTACCTTGTAAATGTCCCAGAGCAAATTTTAATAAACCCAACCTATTTTAGCAGTTTGAATCTGCTGAAAATTATGAACCATAATTATTCTATGGTCAGTCTAAGACTGAAATATCTTAATTGTATGAAAGTCAGTATTTTAATTGACTGATCTATCACAGAGTTTTAGGTAAAAATATGAAGGAGGATTTGTTAAAACTCCTTGAAGCAGTGTGAAGTTATCTCCTCCCCGGTACCTCCCGGTCTGTGTCCTGGAGGAACAGAAGCAGTGTAAAGTTATCTCCTCCCCGGTACCTCCCGGTCTGTGGCCTGGTGACCCGTGGGTACATTCCGGCCAAAGGTCACACCTCGTTCTGCTTTCTAACTGCACAAATATGGCCCACCTCAACCCCTAGCTTAGCCATACACTGAAATTTTAATTTTATTATCCTCATCACCTTGCTCTTCCCTATGTTCACTTTTAATTTCCTTTTTTTACATATCCTCCCAAATTCGTCCATCAACCCCTGCAACTTCAGAATCTCCCAGTAGCACAGTGCCATCAGCCAAAAAAAAAAAAAAATGTGCTAAATAAATAGTCACTCGGGATACTCAAGGAAAAAAACATAGATGAAGGTCAAGCTTTTGTTTCGAAAACGCTTCACTCTATGTAGAGCTTCATAAGGTCAATGCTGTTGTTGACGATGAAGATGCTCTAACAGTCACTGGTATTTCTTTATTAAAACTAATATTCCCGCGGAAATTACACTGCTAATGGATATTTTTTGTCTGGCTTCAGTGATGTGATAAACTATAGACGTGTATTACGTGTAGACAATTATAGACGTGTATTATGT